GGATATTAGTGCATTTCAATTTTGCTTTAAGTGGGTCCAGATTCATCCCAAACTCTGTGTGAAACTCAAAATACCAAATTTCACTCTTTTTTTACCTCCTAAATGACTTCTTCCTCTGGTGTATCAATTTAGTTCAATGGCTTAGAAAAATTTTGCACCACACCATGCATCACCAACTATATCCTCTGATTTTCTTCTAGATACTGGTCATCTGTCCTAAAAGGAGTCAAAACACAAAGGACCATGTGGCCCTCAGCATGACTCTTACCTCCTGCATTGTTCTCAGCTGCGGTGGTCTTGGACTGGGACAGATACTCCCACCCACCAGCTCCTCATACCATGCTCCCTAAGTAGTGCACCCTGCTTGAGCCTCTGCAGCCTGCCGGTCCCGGTGCTACGTATTCCCTCACTCTGCCTTCCCTGCTATTTCTCTCCTCTCTGTGTTCCAGTCATCCTCATCTACTTCCTTCTGTCCTCCTATTCTGCAAACTTTTTTGGGCTCCAAAGGCAAATACAACTTGCAATCCTCATGCCGCAGCAAGCTGCTGAGCTCTGAGTAATCAGATGGTCTCCTGCCATTCCTCAGCCTCTCCCCTTTCTTTTTCTTTTCCTTTTCTTCCTTGTCTTGTAGCATCACGTCAGCCCCGTGAAGAAGCAGGAGGGACCTCAACTCCCTGTGCAGCCCCGTGGCTGACGCCAGGGCAGGTTCCTTGATCCCCAACGCAGGTGAAGGAGCTTGCCTGCAGGTATAGGTAACGTAACACTTCAAGAAAGATGAGGAGCTACTGGAGAGGGTCCAGTGGAAGGCTACGAGAATGGTGAGGGGACTGGAGTATCTCTCCCACGAGGAGAGGCTGAGGGAGCTGGGCTTGTTCAGCCTGAAGAAGAGAAGGCTGTGAGGGGACCTTATCAATGCCTATAAATATCTTGAGGGTGGGTGTCAGGAGGATGGGGCCAGACTCTTTTCAGTGGTGCCCAGCGACAGGACAAGGGGCAATGGGCACAAACTGAAGCACAGGAAGTTGCGTCTGAACATGAGGAAGAACTTCTTCCCTCTGAGAGTGATGGAGCCCTGGCACAGGCTGCCCAGGGAGGTTGTGGAGTCTCCTACTAGATGACCCACAGAGGTCCCTTCCAAGGCAAGTTGACAAGGAGAGTCAACACCTGAACACGTCTTTGTGTTTGCCCTGCTCTTGGAAAGAGAAGGAGGTGGCAGAGGTTGTTTCTGGGGCCATGTTTGCTCTGCAGCACTTTCTCTTCTTCTTTCCCTGTGAATGAGTTTGAACAGTCCCAAGGCAATAATGAGATATGAAGTGTGTGGGAGACTAAATGTATCAGCTGATTTTTATGATGCCTTGGCATCTATGAAGTTTCTCATATGCTTCAGTTCTGTTCCATATCCCTGCTGTGCTTCTTGCCTCTGAATTCCATGGACCTAAACTTTAGCAATGGGTGGACAAAGGGATCTTGGAGAAGAGAGGACAGTTTCCCACCTAGCTGACCACCCTCCCACTGAAGTCCACTGTCCTCTTGCCCACAAAGTGCCACAGTACTGTGGTACCTGGCGGCAATACGGTGCTTCTCTTGGTCTTGGCACCATAGCAGATGCAAATGATGCTACTGACTATGACAGAGCTCCATAGAGTACCTGTGGTGAGGGGAAGCACTGAGGGGAGACCATCTGTCAGACCGGTGGGCACTTGCCATTTTGCAGCTCTCTGCTGGATCTTGGTGGGCTTCGGGACCATTGCAGGAAGGAACTATGAGGATGTTCTCTGCAGTTTGTTCAATCTGTGACCTGTCTGCTGCATAACGGAGCCTTAGCATAGCCCTGGAAACGGAGTTAGCAAATTTTGTATGAGCAGCAACAGGCGAGTAGTAATGGTGAGGTACCAAGTATCTTTTACTCTAAGATCTTGGAGCCAGGATCACAAATATTTCCTAACAGGACTGAACGGCTAGACCAGCAGTTTTCCATTGCTTTTGGGTTGCAGGAGAAGTTTCCCAGTAGAGGTGACAATCCCTTCATGGTCAGCCTAGACCTACTAAGATTTTGTTTTCTAAATAGTCTTTCACAGAACTTTCATGGATGTGGCGCATGAAACACCCAGGAAGCTACAACCTATGAGGCTGAAAATCACAGGGGATAGTGGGACACAGGAATTTTCAGACACAACTAGTACCATTTGTTCACTCAAGTCCTTCTGGAGTGGGGAACTTGAACAGACAATGCAGAATCCACCGCTTGGAGAGAAGGAAAAGTTTATTGGTACTTTTATAAAAGGAAACAGTCTCTGTAATACATTGTTATAAATATTTATAAATATTATTCGGGACTGAAGACCCACTCAAATAAATAAATAAATATTGCAATATAAATAAGTAATGCTTTCTTACTAGCTGGTGATGGCCAGCATCTCCTTTGAAGAATTAGTTCTTTTGCCATTTTGATACAGTTCTCTACAGTTACAAATACATTATTTTGACACAAAATCAGCTGTGCATTCACACTTAGCTTAGGGACTAAACCCCCTGGCTACTGATGGAGTGAGCAACCCTTCTTACTTTCTTCTAATGTACAAATATAGAGATGGTATAGAGATTCAATCCCACCAACATTTCTATTCAAAGTGTGTTATGGATTGAGACAGAATTTTTCGTGATTCAAATTGTTGTAGGTCCATTGACTCGGAGTCCTAGAGAGCTCTTTGCAGCTTACAATAACTTCTGCAAAATGAAACATTTGCTCATGTAATTGCAGTCCATAGTTCTCCAGGAGCAAAAGCCAAGAAGAATGGTATAGGAATCAAGTAAGATTACTAAAATAGAACATATAAACAAAATCACACCTCTCTCTTGTATAGACAGCAAGGTAAAAAGTCTTGCTGTATTTTGAATAAGCAAAAAAATACACGACTATCCGCCTGCCCTGCAATTCTCCTAAATCTAATAGAATCACTCCTTTCCTTCTGAAACCAATCAAAAATATGATGAGTTTAGAGGATGAAAACCAACAAATTATGAGGCAGAACTCTTGGTCTAACCCCAATCATTTGGCTTGTCCTGTGCTCCTAAGAACTTACACGAAGTAAGTAATTTCCACTCCACATAGGAAAACTATTCTAACAGCAGAATTAGCCCCTATGATGTTTCTAACAGAACAGCTTGGATGTTGTAAATAAAGAGATATCGTGTATATATACATATACAGGGAAAAAAATAGATTATTTTAAATGCTGTCAGCAGGACAGACCCTGCACTAAATCCAGAACAATTTCAATGAAAGCAAGAAACACAGGGGGCCTTATTTTGATTTTGTGACAGTGCTGTAACTCCAGTGGCTTCAGTGAGTTACTTCATGAGACAGAAAAAAGAATAGGACCAGTCTTTTGCATTATTGCTATAAGAACACTTGGGACAAATGTACTATTTTCAGGTGGTTGTCAGACTTTTAAATATGCTAAATAAATGAAACAGAATCGTTTGGATCTTGACATGCAGAAAATGCAAACACACCAAAATAAAAAGCTCTTCTCAAATACGTGCCACACTGGATTTTTGTGCAGCTCATCAGTACCTTGCTATTGATTTCTGCAGAGCACATCAAGAATAACTTTTTCAAAACCACACAGATTTAATCTTACAGGATCATCAAATCAAAATGAAAAGAAATAGGGAGAAAAATAACTATGTATGTACACAATTTTCAGAGCGCTTGTGGAAATTAATATAGCCCCATTAAAACCAGTCAAGCTATACTGAATTCTTCTAGCTAACAATTTGACACCTCAATTACAATAGAAAGCTCTGCTCTGCAGATATCACATCTAAACTAAAGATTTGTAAACTTCAGACATATATATATGGAGGTTAGATTCCGATAAGTAAACTTACCCATAATATATACCAATCTAGAGAAAAAGTTTTGTCAACACTGGAGATCTCCTGATTAATATTAATTTCCCTCTTACAAGTATAAAGCATCTGATACCTGCTGAGAACTAAAGAGAAACATAGATACTAAACTTACATTCCTCTATTCTAAATAAAAAGCTAATTTTTACTCATTAGATGAAAGTCTTCATGAGCTATTAATAGTTTCATGCCTATAAGGCATAATTTTTTGGATTTCTTTTTGCCTGTACAGTTCAGCAGTGTACAAAACAAATCATTCTGTTTAAGACACTATTGATTATTAGTAACCCTGGTACTTGTCTCTGGGTCTGAAATATGCAAAACTAATGAATTTCCATATTGTGATGCTGTAATTTAGTGAATATAGAGGTGTGATAGAGAAGCACTTGAGACACAGTGAAACTCTCCTCCTTTTTCCCCAGACCTCAGCTTGCATTCAGTAAGTGTCAGAAACTGTGCTTTCTACACAAGACCATTTGATCCTGCCCTGTTCTCCTGTCAGTTACTCCATTTTTCTGTGTGTGCTGCTCCTACAACAGCAGAGTGGTCACTTTATTACTCCTGTGGGCACGAAAGAGACTGAAGCTACAACTTAACAGCTAAAAACCTTTGCAGTATTTTTTATATAATACTATATCACACCATCAGTTGGTTTGTCTGCTGTGCTTGCACAGCCAGGGACTGCGCTAGTCAGAGGATTCCCTGTCTCTGTTGGAATCTCGGATGCTCCAGGTCTCTTCCCAGTTACATCAGTAACATAACATCAGTTTCTCATTTCATTCAAGCGAATTTTTTTCACTGATACATACTTCAGTTGATTCAGACCCTACAATGTTTGGTTTGTATTGTTCTTTTCAAAAATGTATCTTCTTTCCAGTAAAATAGACCCCCCCAGCTGGAAAATGTCCAACTTGTTTGTTCAGGAAACTGTCATCTGTAAGTACAAAATTTGAAATTAAGGATTTTTTCCCAATGACTTTCAGGTTTCTGATAGCTGTTTTGACATTCAGACTGAGTGTGCTCGACAGTTCTTTTTGCCTATTATATTTGCCCTTGTCTTCAGTAGGCAAGTGGCAGGGCCACAGTTATCTTGTAATATAAAAGCGAGGACTTGCGTACCTCCTGGCATCCATCATAGCATGTGGGTCATCTGGGTTGACCACGTCATTCTGGTTGGTTCTCATCGGCTCTCTGGGCACATGGGAAAAGTCTGCTTGCTGCGGCAATCGGAATCCGAATGCGGAGATCTTTCTCTGAGGGACCAGGATCTGATGAGGATCCATTGGATCGATATCTGCACTTCTAGTATTTCTGTGGGGCTCCGGTGTGTTGAATCGAAACAAAGGGATTTCATTTCTCCTGGACAAAAACTGGGAGTATGGTGGTGGATTCATACCAGGGAAGAAAGCTTGTTTAACTCTGCCTAAGCTAACCAGAAAGTTGTGTTTGGGAGACTGGTACACATCATATCCATTTTCCAGCGTCCTGTGGTTGAACACGCAGTCCTCTTGACTGAAGTAATGCTTAGGGAAAAAAATATGATACCTGTGAGCAGAGGGATTTGGTGAACGACAAGTGTTCATTAAAGATGGACAGAGGGATGAGATCTTGCGGGTGTTTTCCTAATCTGCCAGCTCTGTAACTCAGACAACTCAGGCTTAGTCAAACGTAGATCTGAGATGCGTGCCCATGTTTTCAGCAAAGGTATTACAATGATAATGTTGTTTTCTTTCAGAGGGCTGCGTTGTCTGAGCTACTCCAAACTCGTGACTCTAGGCTACAGCAAGAATTAGACTGGCCCATCACTGGATCTCACTCTACCCTCGTTTACCCAAGCACAAATTCACATGATTTTTGTCAGCTCTACAACTCAATGCAGTTAAAGAAGAGAGGAAAGTTTAACCTAAGTGTCAGGTCCTCCGCTTGCTTCTAGACTTGCCCTAGATGAGAAAATAAGGCACCACAGCAGCACGCTGCATTCGCCTCTCAGTGCTGAGCCTTAGCAAAGCTTACTCACCGAACCGAAAATGTTTCCTTTCGTGTCCATACATAGGTAGCGTCCGCTCTTCACACCTGTGATTATTACAGAGCCAGCACCCTCGGACTTGATCATTAGGGCACCTGTTTAGAAAAACAAAGACGTCAAATCCAGGACCCAGTCCGACTCTGCACTTACAGCTCCACAGATGCTCCAGCTGGAAGTGTCCTCTGGGGTCTCAATCAGCCTCCACGTGAACTGGGACTACTGCCCGCTCTAGATCAGGTTAGCCCTGGCTTTGACTGTCTGAGCCTTGGAAAGTTCCCAGCATAGAGATGCCACCACCTCTCCGGGTGCCCCGTTCCCATGCTGCATTAACCTCCTGCCCTGGTGTCAGCTGGGATAGAGTTAATTTTCCTCCCAGTAGCTGCTGTGTTTTGGATTTAGTATGAGAAAAATGTTGATAACACTGATGGTTTTAGATGTTGATATGAAATTAAGGACTTTTTTCCAATTTCCCATATTCAGCTAACAAGCAGGTGTGCAGGAGTTGGGAGGGAGCACAGCCAGGCAGCCAGCCCAGGCTGGCCAGTGGAAATATTCCATGCCATGGACACCATGGTTGGCTTAGGAATGGGGGTTGGCCGGGGGGCAAGAATCCTCTCTTTTTTCCTGGAGTTCAACTCTCTTTTTTCGATGAGTTTGAGCTTTTTCTGGAGTTCTAAAAACCCGTGAGTTCCGTGTTCTGCGCTCACTGCTTGGAGACCAGCTGTGCAAATGGGCATCGGGCAGTGAGAAAAATTGTATTGTGTATAGCTTGTTTTGTGTATTCAGTAGTAGTAGTAGTATTTCCTTTTTTGTCTTATTAAACTCTCTGTATCTCAACCCATGAATTCTACATTTTTTCTTTCTCCTCCCCATCCTACTTGGGGGGGAGGGGGAGGAGAAATTGAGCAGCCGCGTGGTCCTAGGTGGCAGCGGCTGGGTTAAACCACGACACCTCCTAAAGACAATATCCCCTCTAAAGTCCCAAACCACAGTCTGAGGCCGTTGTCCTTAGTTCTGTCATCGGCCTCTACCAAGGGGTGTTTGTCTCCCTCATCTTTGTGACTGCCCTGTGGTGTTAGGTTATCCTTAACCTCCTTTTAACTGTAGTAAACAAGCCCAGCACCCTCAAGCTTTCCTGACAGATCATGCTTAAGGCCTCTGACCATCCTGAAAACCCTCTGCCAGGCCAGCTCCAGTTTCTCCACATCCATCTTGAACTGGGGTTGCTACAGTGCTCCAAGAGCAGTTAAACTGGTGCCGAGCAAGGTGGGAGCGATAACTTTCCTTGACCTGCTGACCCCAGTAGGCGGTTTGCCTGCCTCTCAAAGTGAGCTTGCTGTTGACTGATGTTTGTCTTGGTGCCTGCCATAACCCTCAGGTCCTACCCAGGAGGGCTCTACACGTCCAGCCTTATTCCAGCCTGTGCTGCTGCAGGCGGCCATTGCAGCCCCGGTGCAGAACTTTGCAATTCTCCTTTGTCTGGCATCTCAGTGGTACCATGGTGACCTGGCAAGGATTCGGTCACCCTCCTTCTTATGACTCCTTTCGCTGTATGATTTCCACCCTTCCTGCTCCACCATTCCAAATAACAGTGTATATTTTCTTCATGGCAGATATGGGAAAAACATTATATTTTGCTGGCTGTTTTCTCTAAAGCATCACACTCATTCTTGACCAACCCACCTAAAATGAGTTGTATAAAACCTTTAATTATGAGCAAAGAATAACGACAAGACAGTGCAAATGTCCCTACAAGTGTTCCATTAGTAATTCCCAAAAGAAAAAAAAAAAGAAAAAGTAGCAGAACTAGGTCCTTTTTTCTCCTTGATTAAATTATAACTTTAAAAAATACCTTTTGCTCCTTACATATTTATGTAAAAATATCATTACATATGCTTACATTTTTAATTGAGTGGATGCAGAAGATGCTATGCAGCAACAATAATAAACATGACTTCATGATGCCTACCTACTTGTGATTTGAGTACTGTGAAGAAAGAATTACTTTTGAAATGCTATGAAAGAACCCTAAGTTTTAAAAAAAGTCCCCATTTTTCTACTAACTACAGTGTCTGGACAGACATTCAGCAAAGGAAGAGGAATACCTTAGTTTTCCATGAAAACAAATTATGATGAGGCGATTTGACAACCTTTTAGTTACAGTAGTGAATGGTGAGTGCAGAGGCTTAGCGCTTCTTTTACAACAGTCTGGCCTTTTGTAGGTTCCCACTGTTTAATCAACTGCTGCGTGCTCAGTTACCTGTGTTCTACACACAGTGGAGTTTTCACCATGCAGCTACATTAAAGACACAGATCTGAAGCTTGTCTGACAAACCAATTTCCAGTGCAGAGATGTATTGATGTGTTTGGAAGGAAATTACCTAGTTTTAGTAGTTATCAGCTCTCTACCCCAAAATAAAGGTTTTACGGATGCTATCAGTTTTCCACCACTGCTGTGGTGAGTTCCCTCCGTGCAGTTCCTTTGGCAATACTGTCACTGCCATAGCTATGTGGGGGATGCAATCACTAACCTCTGATAGGAACTTCCACAAGTAGCTGTGGATAAAATCATGAAGTGAAGGATAGTTCAGGTAGTTTTCGCTTGCAGAGTATCACAGAAACCACAGGACTTTAATTCTCTTAGGTGAGGAATGAAATTCCCCATCCACTGGATATCTCTGGCGTGATTTGATTTCTTAAACAAAAGGAGGATTATAATCATGTATATTTTCCATCCCATAGCTATACTCCTCTTCCTGCCTCCCTAACAAGGGGAGGGGATTTTCTATAGGTAGTGAGAAAGCAAAAGTCTTATTCTCCCCCCCTTACTCCTCTGAAGACTGAGGGTCCAGAGGAAGCTACTTACTGTAAATGGTTTGGTGAGGGACACCGTCAACGTAGCCATCAGTGTTGATTTGGAGATGGACGCTGTTCCTCTCCGTGTCTGTGTAGAGGTGCATCAGGCGATCTCCGTTCCCCCAGCTGGGATTCAGCAGCGGAGAGGAGTTGGGAAAGGCGAGGGCAGCCTTCAGGCTGCAGAGCACCAGCAGCGCGAAGCCCGGGCAGCTGTATGGACCGGTCTGCGGCATGGCTCGCCGTTCCTAGGGCTGGTCGGTGTCTGCAGCTTGATATGCTGCTCTGCTTCTCACCGATCCCCTGGTCGCCTGTGTCTGGAGTGCGAAGCCTCAGGCAGGTTCTCTTCTGTTCTGCAGAGGCTTATAAAGGGCAGCAAAGTGACATCAGACAGGAAAAACTTCTCCACATCCTTGATTTTTGTCAAAGCAACATTTTTAAGTGTCCCGAAACCTCAAGGGAAGGATCTCTGGCTAAGGTGCGGGGGGGAAAAAATGTAAGGTTTCTAAAGACAGCTCACGAAAGCTAATCATATGTTCAAATGTTATCTACAACCCTGTGACATCTGAAAGCTTCCCACGCCCCTACTGTTAGGTCCAGGAAGAGCAATCCACTGCACTTTGCTTTGGCTGCAGGCAATGACCCTTCCGACCCCAGCTGCCTGCTTCTCTCAGACACCTTCATCCAGATTCCCACCTCCCCTCTCCGTTTCCAAAATACCTTCTAATTTAGTGCAAACATCGAGTACTGCTAAAATATTTTCTGAATGTATCAAAAGCTGCTATTGGGTTGTGCTGGGCCTGATTCCCCCTTCGTTATGGTGTAAGTTTAGCAGTGAGCCTGTTGGGCTGAGATGTGTGTCACTCCGGTTAAGCAAAGGAGACTTGATGTGAGCACAACCCACTTCAAATAAGCTGTCCCTTCTATTTGTCCTGTTTCATTTTGAGTCGCCTAAATAATTTAAAGTCATCTAAACAGCTGAAAATCAGTTATTAAACACTTAAAAGCTATATGTTTTTTCCTGCATTGCGCATCTGTCTGGCAGTCTTTGTCACAGAGTTGTGCAGGTTCGCGTGGCCGGTAGATCTAGGATCTAGGATCTGAATCAAACCTGAAATCACTCATATTGGCGCATTTGTATTACCTCAGGAACAGCAAGCAAACTTGGAAGAACTACAAAGGGACATGACCAAGCTGAAAAGTAATAAATGGACAGTGATGTTAAAAAATCTTCCAAGATACAATACCTGCTTTTCAGTTGTCCTGCCAATGTTCTGCGGCTTTACAGACAAGTTTTATGATTTAAAAAAATAGGGTTCCATTTATTGTATGAAAATGCTGTGCTAATGGGACATTGTGTATATGGGTAAAACAATGATGACAGGAATAACAGGTTATAAAACTAGACCATGTTAAGGTTTCTTCCAAAAATCAATACAAAACTGGAAAGAGTACCAAACAATAAATTACTATTTTTTTTTAAAGAAATCTGAGGATTTTAACTGTAGCAGTCTTAGGTTCAGTTACAGTCTCTAGCTGGACACAGTATGCAAAATTCTTAGTTTCATTAACAACATTAACAGGCTGTGGAGCAGTGCCATCAGCACGAGACACATTGTGGATTGTCACAACCGTAACTAACTGTAAAAGCTGATCTGATTTTTTTTAGTGTTTAAAATTAGCAAAACTCTGCCAAATTGTTCTGTCACACCTGTGTAAATCTGGAGGCTTGCGTCAGTGTATATACACCTGTGTAAATGACAGCATTTTTTAGCCAAAGTGTATAAGGGTCGAATCTTTAACTGGGTAGGCTGGCAAAGCTGTCTTCACCGAGAGGCAATGCAGGCTACAGACGTTTTACTGGTTAGAACATCTGAAATGCTTTCATTTAAAAGATAGCTTGGAAGGACAGGAGGGCTATTCTTTCTGCTCTTTTTTAAAGCTATTTAAATATTAGATCTATTTATTACTAAAATTATCCACCAATATTTTTCACTCTGGTATTAAAACAGACGTTTGAGATTTTTTGTTGTTGTATGTTTCTTCTGTTTTTCTTTCGCTGCCTTTCATTAGACTGCCACGGAAATGCGGATATGTGTACCTCAGAAACAGTTGCAAAAGCTTCTGTGAGAGGCACTTGTAGGATAGTGGGTCCTCTTGGAATTTTTTGTGATTCTTTTGCGAATGCAGTTTTTCTGGTTTGATATTTCATATTCATCATGAAATTTTTCTGTGCTTGTCATTACGCACTGATCTGATCTCTCTCTGGTGTCTTAGCTGTAGAGAAACTGTTCTCAGATGTTTGAAAAAGTTATTCAAACCCCATTTTAGCACATGCCAGTTGTGAGCAGCTGTTTCCTTGTTTTATGTGAAAAGAAGCACAGACTACTTTCACATGCTTAAATTGTTTGGCATTTTCAAAAGTTTCCTATAGGGTCAGCAAAACTTTGCAGAGTTCTCTTTAAGCTGCTGGGCTAAAACGAATTTACTGAAGTCTCTGCTTGTGAGGATGATAATGCAGATTTTGCCTTTTCATAGACTTTTTTTTTATTTAAAACCTATAAAAGCCCATGCGTGTGTTTGTTTTTTTCTGAACAGTCCATGTCTTTTTTTTACTTCAGGCTGATCCATTTATTCCCTCTGTTGGTATGCCACTTACCTTCTCCTGCCCATTCAGCTGTTGATGAAGCAACCAGGTGTGTTATTTATTATTTATTCAGCTGTGTATATTAGTTTAATAGAACTGATGATGATCTTTCTTCTCTTGTATTGTCATAGAATTATAGAACAGTTTGAGTTGGAAGGGATCTTTAAAGGCCATCTAGTCCAAACCCCCTGCAATGAGCAGGGACACCTATCACTCGATCAGCTTGCTCAGAGTGCTGTGCAGCCAGACCTTGAATGTTTCCAGGGATAGGGCATCTACCGCCTCTCTGGGCAACCTGTTCTATGGTTTCACCACCCTCATTGTAAAAATTCTCTTCTTTGTATCCAGTCTAAATCTACCCTTCCTTAGTTTAAAACCATTACCCCTTGTCCTATCACAGTAGACCCTGCTAAAAAGTTTGCCCCATTATTTTTACAGGCCCCCTGAAAGGCTGCAGTAGGGTCTCCTGAGAGCTATCTCTTCTCCAGACTGAACAGCCCCAACTCTCTCAGCCTTTCCTCACAGGAGAGGTGCTCCAGCCTTCAGATCATCTTTGTCACCCTCCTCTGGACCCGCTCCAACAGGTCCATGTGTTTTGTGTGCTGAGGGCTCCAGAGCTGGATGCAGTACTCCAGGTGGGGTCTCACCAGAGCGGAGGGGCAGATGCTGTTGGTTCCGCAGCCAGGTGGGGTCTCACCAGAGCGGAGGGGCAGATGCTGTTGCTTCAGTAGCAACAATATTTCTGCAGCTTTTACCACTTATGTTAACACTGCTTTTTTAGATCTCTGTGTTGTTCTGAGATGTTTGACCAATTAAGACAGCTTTTCTCAGTTCTCAGTAAAGAATTAGGTCCAGAGTCTTACAGATTTTCCTTGATTTAGACGGAAGAAAAGTAGGAACTGAATTTGAAGACCAAAACCCCTTTCGCAAAGTCAGAACTCTTGTTCTTCTTTAACTGCTGCCTTAGTCCAAATGAATAGTTCGGCTAGTGTTAAGTTTTGTTCATGCATGGAAACAGGTGAATTTCTCCTCCAGAGGAGCCTGCACTTTTCAGCGGGTAGGAGGGGAAGCAGCTGCTGTGGAAAGAGCAGTGTGAGCACACGTGGAGCTGGGGGCATGCTGGTGGGAAAGGACAGGGCCAACCTGTGCCTTAGGACTCAATGCGGACGTTCCCACGGTCAGGATGGCCGCATTGCCACACTTTCCGCTTCCCATTGCAGGGATGGGATGCAGCCAGCGTCAGGTGCCGGGGTGGCGTAGGGCATTCCTTGGAAGCACCCTGCACGGGCAGCTGCGAGGTGGAAACCACCGAGGTGGGGTGGGGAAATTCTCACTTCAGAAAAGGCTGGAAGGAAAAGGCAGATGAGACAGGTCTCAGCTGGCGGGCTGAAATTTATTTGAGAGCGTTGTTGATGCTCAGTGGGTCCCATTCCCCTCCCTCTCTCTGCCATGTCTTCATCCCAGGCCTCTCCTCGCTGCAGAGGCAGCCGAGGTCTGGCTGAGCTGGTCGGTCCAGGCGCCCCGACTGCGACGCCTGCAACGCCCGTGCCCTGTGGTGCGGGGTGTTCGAGGAGCGCTGCCCCAGGGCACGCAGCTAACGGGACTCACAACCCTGAGCGTCCGCGCATCAACAGCACCACTTTCTGCGCTGAACAAAGCAGATGTGCAGCGGAAAGTTTTGTGATTTATTGAAATATGATCATTTAACTGCAAAGTATACCCAGAACTGTTCACAGAAGAAACTGGGTTAGGGCCATGGGAGCAGCCTGGGATCTGATTTTACCCCATTTTGGCTGCTTTCAGTTTCAGATTTAGGTAATTTTTTTTATCAAAACGCACCATTTCAAATCTGTAAAACCCTGATCTCAGCAACTGTATGTCATCCCTCCTACAGCTGCTAGCAAAAATCTCCTTTCTTCTATTGCTTATGACTGCAGTCAACTGCAGAGGACTTACAAGGAAAAGATAATTTTTTTTTACAACAAATTTAAGTGACTACAAGTGATTTGCTCTCAGTTGCCTTTTGCAGACCCCTTGAAAGTTCTTTGTGCACCTTCAAAAATTTGCAGGTGAAAAAAATGAGTTTCGTACTCAGTATAATGGAGTTGCCTTCCAGGATTCTCCTACAAGTGAAAACGCATGTTCCCGCACGGTGCTGGACTACCTTTCATCATGTAGGAGCACCTGTAGTTTAATAAAGCTTATTGACTTATGTGTCTTCTCCTTTTGCAGAACTCCGTGCTATCTGGTTTTCTGGGACAGCCTCAGGAAGCCTCTTGCTCTCTCCTGTTTCAAAGGTCACAAGGGAATTTGGGTTGACAGATCTGAAACTACCTCTGCTTTTAACAGTTTTCTTCGCATTGCACCTCTTCAAAGAGGTCAGAGAAATCAGGTGCCCTTCCCTCTCCCTACTGTTCCTTAAAATCACTGTAATAACTGGCTCTGGGGCAATCACATCTTCAGCGCTGGAAATACAAGGGTGGAGTGCCTCTCCAGAAGTTATTCTAGGAATACTGACGCACTAAGTCCACGGTATGTACAGTGGATGCTCTGTGTGTATGTGTGTGCATGAGCCTTTGCCACAGACTT